ACATTTTCTAGGCAATTATTTTTCCCGCAAATCATTTTCTTTCCACCCATTTTCCACCCTTACAATCAAACGCACCCTAAGAGTCTTGAAAAGTTTTTCTTCTATTTTCGAGGTTACACATTATCATCAATGATAAAATCATTTCTTGAAGTTTAGTTTAGATAAAAATTAGATTTTTAGTAGATATTGATAAAAGTTGATAGAATGTGCAGTGAAAAGTTGTGGATCCCATAAAATGTATGGTTAAAACTAATTGTTGAATTTTAATTAGATTGTAACAAGCTTTTTAAGTTTAACCAAACTGGTGCTAAATATTGAATTAACGACTTTACGTTGTTTGATATCATCATATTGCACTGAATTACCATAAAATGTAAAATTGTCCAATTTTCAAATCCCATGTTTAAATATTATCATGCCTTACTTTGTATCTCTCCCACATATTTATTGCTTTCAGGAATGAGCAAGTGGAGAAGTCACTTGAAGACTACGAAATATCCATGGCTGAACAGGAATAATGACGCAGAGGAAGCTCAGGAAACAAACCTATTCCGATGGTGATCAACTGTTCGAGGTATTCTACGTTTTCCACTCTCAAAACGTGCACCCAAAAAGAAAAACGCGTTCAATCCTGTGAATGCTCTTCTTTCTTTGCTAATTGGTGACGACAATAATATGGTTCATTCTGATCAAGACTTGGATAGTAATAAGGGAAATACTGAAGTGAATTAGGTCATGGTACCACTCTTAGAAAATGCACCAGGTCAGGAAGAGATTGCAGCAAAATGGTTCAGTCAAGATGTCTTCACTGATGCCGATGAAAGAGAGGATCTGGGTAACGATGATAGTCAAGATGAAATGCAGGTGGATGTTCAGGAGAAACCAATTGAAGATTTATCAAGCAATAAAAGAAGATAAACCTGCTGGAAGTTGCAGGGAAGAAGATGAACATTTCATTCATTCAACTTAGAGAAATTACAAAGCATAATTGTCTATTTATAGAAAAAACTAGCTAACTAATCTATCAACTAAACTAACTAACTAACTACATTACAACTGGAAGCATGTGAGCTGTTTACAGCTGGAAGGAGGGCTGAAGATGATGAACAAACAGGATCAGCTGGGGTTTAGATTATGATCCGTGTGATGTGTTTCTATTGCATATTCTAGCAAGATTCACCCGAACAACCAATAGGTCCAAAAAAGACTGTGAACTGCATTGCAGACAGCAAAACCTTCCAAGGTAGACAATGATTTCGAGATAGTTCCTGCTTCAGATACTGATTTTACTGATTGATCATCATCGCATGACTCAGATGAAGACGGAAATGATTCAAAAGTGGAGATATTGGCTTGTGCAAAAATGTTGCTGAGAAGAAGCAAAGGGAACAGATTCTTGATGACGTATACAACAAATGTCTTTTATATGATGAGGGATTACCCAAGTGGTTTGCGGACAAGGAAAAGAGGCATTACCAGACAATCAAGCCAGTGATAAAAGAGGAGATTGTTATAATGAAAGCACTAAGCAGGCAAACTCTATATCTGACCAGGGGGATATTTCCGATCATTCAAAGAGGAAATGACTAAATAGCTTTATAAGAAGACAGCACCAAATAAACCTAATAAAGAATATGTGGTGGCAGAGAAGTGTGTCCACGTCAAGGCTGGCAAGGGGAAAGTTCTTGTTGATTGAAGAACGAAAAAGGACACGAGGAAGCATCGGGAAAGAGAAGAAGAGAAATGGAAAAGAGGGAAATAAAATGAAGTAGAGGAAAATGTGTTTAAATATGGAGAAACTGCATGGGATGTTGCTCGGTGGTAGGTTAGGTACAATGGGATTTTCCGCAAAGGTCAGATAGGAAGAAGACAGTGATCCACAATAATTGAATCCAGTTTAGACTGCAATTTGCCCCGTGGTAAGTTTGGCATACATTATTAAACCGTTTAAAGGATAATAACATCTAATACAATGTTTGGGTTGAATTATACCCAAATAAATTTATTCCGACAAACCACAGGCGTACTGATTAATCCATAGGAGGAATTGAGTTCAAAGGTAAATGAGAGATGAAATATGCACATAGAATGCCAACAGTGAAGTGTTGAAGGAAATACAATATACATAAAAATGTCAAAAAAAAGTGCAAAAAATGGCAATACACCTTTTCCTACTTTATTCCTGTCCAACCTAGTAATATTCTACTTATTAGTGTCCACCCTAACATGCTACGGTAGATTTAATGAACCCTATAGGACATGTTTTAGATATGATTAAGGAAATGAAATATGTAACATAATTTGTCAGCAGATTTCTCGAAAAAATGCATGGATTAAAAGTCACTTAAGCTAGACAGCCAGCAGCGTAGTAGTGTGTGCTGTCAACATTACATGAATTGATAACAGATGTTTACATTTTGATCATATCAAAAAATTTGAGGGGAAATACAATCTGTAGATATTATCAAATTCGAGTGACTTACAATAGGGTATCCAAATATTCGCTTACTGTGGTGTATTTGATATGTGGATACAGCTGCGATCCTTCGAGACCACCTGATGAGTCTATGTCGAAGTATGTATGATCTCCCTTTACAAAAGCAGAGTATATGAAAAGCAGCTCCCAGTTGTACGGATACCGACTTTCTGAATTGCAATGACAGATAGTCTTAGTATAGGACCTATTTTGAAATAACTCACAACAGAGAGAATAATTACGCTACATCGAGAAAAGGAACCTAATAAATAAGTAAAATTTTCTTCCAAGGTTTTTTTGAATTTCTTTCAACATTTTTAATCAGTTCCTTCTGTTATAGATGAACTGAGACCAGGCTTTGGCTAGTTTACTTTCCAACTAAAGTTAACACAATCCCATTAAAAACGAGAAATAACCTGCTCACATACAAATAATCCCCCTCGCCCTAAATAATCAAATTCCTAATGGAGCAACATGTGAAAAGCTAATTTTGTAGCATCTTTGTCCCTCATTTAGCGAACAAAACAGCGACTTTATATGTTAAAAGCAACATACCTCTGAAAGCTTCTAAGTTCAAAGCAACGTACCTTGAATTTTTTTTAGAAGCTCTTCTTCTGTAACGTAAATCCTCTTCAGATTCTTCCCAATTTTTCTCTCCCAAATCTCAACCAGCTCGTTCACAGAGAGAACATTTCCTGGTGGCCTCAAGTACATTGTTTTATTCAGAGTACGTGGATCATCCACTGCACTTATGGTGAAGGCCGCAACATCACTTTGTTTCACAAAAACACCTGTAGGATATGGAAAGAAGACACATCAAACCAAAGTTCAAAACTATAAGCTCGCTTTCAGAGACCAAGATCATGAGTACATAGAGAGCTGCTAATAAAAAGCAGCACTTCCTGTATAAGTAAAATAAACAGAGAACTGGCAAAAGAACAAGTTCATACAAATAATGACACCAATTACCATTATTTTACCAATTAAAATGATTGAAGCCAAGAAAAATGTGAATCTCAAACCTTTAACATTTCCATCTCCAAATACTATAGCTTTGTTTGTTGGTGGGGTTATCCGGCCTGGCTGAACTAATGACGGAAGTAAAACGTTCATAAAGAAGTTACAACAAATGTAGGTGTGAGGAATGCCTCCAGCCTCGATAAGGCGCCTAATTTCGGATTTCCTTGCATAGAAGTTGTTGTCTAAGTCGGACACTTGGGTCCTATCTGGATCTGCTCCAAACTCCGATGGAAAAAACCTCTGCAACGTGTCAAGTTATTAGGATACAATTATAATGAAGTGACCATTGTTTTTGAAAGTTACTTCATGCCCACCTCATGTGACTATGTGAGGCTTTCATTACATGTCTCAAAGGTTACGCTTTATTCCCATCAACAAGACTTGCGCCTCAATTTACTGAGTCTTATGTCTCAAGTTGCAAAGACTTAGCAAAAGCTTTAGGAGACTGGGAGTGTGCTCCTTTGTCATGTACTTTTGGACTTCAAATTATGGGCCTCAGCTTATTGGACTATGTTTTATAGCCTAGAATGTTTTATGGGTCTTTTGGCTATCTTTTTCAAAGGACTTCTAAGTTTTCCTAATTTATTGCTTTCATTTGAGGCTTTCAACTCAGAATGCCTCAAGACCTCACCTCAGATGGGTAAAATGTTTCTGTAACCAATGAGCTTTATAAACATAAGAGCAAGGTAGATCTGCATAATTGAGTCAAGGATCTTATTTTACGACACAATTAGGCAGCCAACAACCACCTGACAACAGCCCCTGAATCAACCATCTTAATCCAACTATTGTTACAGAAACTAGGGCATGACTATTATATATAAATGTGTTAGTTGGACAAATATACATGCACTCAATCAATCTCAAAAGGATTTCATGTTCCGTTAAGCTCAAAAAAGGATACTAATCTTCAAACAAGATCTTAGCTTCCTGTCAAATGACTAATTTACTTATTTGCAACTTTGACAATTAAAATATCTGAAGTTATTTACTTATAAGTAAACTTATTAAGCTTAGTCATACAGTCTAATAGGAATATAAGCACAGTGGGGACAAGAAATAATGACCTTGATGCAACCTGCTTGCTTAATAGCTGAAATAAGCAGCTTCTGATCAAGCACTTGCATAGAGGAAACCGCGCAAATTACAACATCGACTTGCTTGATCGCTTCAATTAAGATCATTTCATCTTGCAAGGAACCCTAGCATAAGAATCCAATCCCAAAAAAATAATAAAATAAAATCTTAAAATTAAGCTCGCTTCAAAATAATTTAAACGAAAAAGAGGAAGAAGAATCATAAAAAATGTGATTGAACCTTAAGAAGTGTGACTCCGGAATCCAACAGGACTTGAATTTTGTGGAGTTTGTTTGGATCAGAGAAAGCGGAGTGTCTGACGAGCCCGAAGGTGGGATGAGAAGCATTTATACTGGCTTTGGCTATTTCCAGCCCTAGATTGCCAGTTATTCCGATTATCAATATCTTGCTCTTGCTTGACGCCATTGCTTTACTCGATTCAGCCTGCTTCTCTCTCACTGGGGAGCCTTTTGCTAGGGGTGTTCGGTTTCGTAAACTAATTTAACGGCGCCTGAAATAGAGAAGGAATTGTAAAAGTAATAGTTTTCTTTTTCTGTCTGCCATCAAAATAGAAAAAGCTCAGCCCCCCTTTGACGAAATTATAAATTCACTTATTTATTATTTATTTCTATCATTTATAAACAAAATCTTTTATAAATTCTTGTGAAGCAAAGTGTCACGGACCTAGAGAATTTCCCTACCCATGTGGCATGGCAAGATAGCTTATTGTATGTGTATTGCTATATTTCTCGGAAGTGCACTGCCGATGTT